GCAAAAGACACCTGCCTTCTTCCCAGAGCTCTCAGCGTCGTTCCCCACTAAGCATACGAACACACAAATGTATCAATTCACACGGAGTTTTCTTGACCAAAGCCTCGCCAAAGAAGCCCCCCAGAGCATAGTGGGCATTTATCGTACGGATAATCCATCACGGCTGAAAACGGCCACACTGTCTTCAACTATCTGATCTTTCGCATCGTCGGGACCAGAAGCTCAGAAAGCCCACGAAACATGGTGCCCACCTACCATACTGATATTCCATCACAAGGAGGTACGGCCATCCTAAGTGACTATTTTGAACTGTTGACCGTCTACAGGACAACGATGCCAATTCACAGTTATATCTTATTATTATTATTATAATCGATGAAATACATTCACGATGTACTTCGACCACACTTGAGTGAATCAATTCCTAATCCACTCAAGCCCTACACCAACGACTCACTAGATAGTTTACCTTCTTCGCGGTTAACTCTGGAGGTAATGCCAGAGATTCTTAAACATCACATGATAAACCAAGCCCATGGCACTCATGAAGAACACAACAGAATCAACATTGCGAAATATCGAGCTCGAATAGCTCAAATTATCCGAAGTGGTGCGACCTAATCGCAATAGTATTGTTGAGTGTTGATTGATATGTTATAAGAAACATTTACTGGGCATCAACCTTGCTCATGTGGACGGCGAGGTCAACAAGACGGTTGGAGTAACCCCACTCGTTATCGTACCAGGAGACGAGCTTGACGAACTTGTCGTTAAGAGCGATACCGGCCTTAACATCGAAGATGGAAGAGTGCTTGTCGTTGCACATATCAGTGGAAACAACATCATCATAAGTGATACCCATGACACCCTTCATGTCACCCTCAGAGGCCTCCTTAACGGCGGCAACGATCTCGTCGTAAGTGGCGGCCTTCTCGAGACGGCAGGTAAGATCGACAACAGAGACATCAGGGGTAGGGACACGGAAGGACATACCAGTCAACTTACCGTTGAGAGAAGGAATGACCTTACCGACGGCCTTAGCGGCACCGGTAGAAGAAGGAATGACGTTGGCAGCAGCGCAACGGCCTCCCCTCCAGTCTTTACCGCCCTTAGAGGGACCATCGACGGTCAACTGAGTGGAAGTGGTAGCGTGGATGGTGGACATGAGACCCTCGACGAGACCGAACTTGTCGTTGATGATCTTAGCAAGAGGGGCCAAGCAGTTAGTAGTGCAAGAGGCGTTGGAGACAACAGTGAGATCGGAAGTGTACTCCTTGTTGTTGACACCCATCACGAACATGGGGGTATCATCCTTAGGGGGAGCAGAGATGATAACCTTCTTGCAGCCACCCTGGATATGACCAGAGGCCTTCTCTTTAGTGGTGAAGACACCAGTGGACTCGCAGACGTAGTCGGCGCCGGCCTTACCCCAGGGGATATCACAAGGATTCCTCTCGGCGAAGACCTGGATGGTCTGACCGTTGACGATGAGGCAGTTCTCACCAACCTCGATGGTACCGTTGAACTGACCGTGGACGGAATCGTACTTGAGGAGGTACTGCATGTAAGGGAGGTTCATGAAGGGATCGTTGACAGCAACGACCTTGACCTCAGGGTTCTCCATGGCGGCACGGAAGACCAAGCGACCGATACGACCGAAACCGTTGATACCGAGTTGAGCGACCATTGTTGATTAAGTGATTAATCCAATGAGTGGATGTGATGGTGATGTAAGCCGAACCAGCGAAAACCTAAGCTTTAGCTTAGCAAATCGCTTATGTCTCATTACACAACGCAAGGTGGGCTCCCCAGAAGGGACATCATTTGTGTCGGAGCAGGATACGGTAACTGATGACCATATCTAGAATTCTAGCAACATCATGGTGCCGATTTGCTCGTTACCACAGAGGGAGAGCGTCCGAATAACGATAGTCACACTGTAAAATCCCTGTTCTTCCCTTGATGCCGCGCTCCATCGTTTTGTTCTATCAAACAACAAATTGTTGTCAACATTACTCCAGAGCAAAGTCTTGCTTCATCCTAACCTTTCTTTATTCTAGCAGTGTAATTCTCTCTGTGAGGAGTACTATTCAACCCCTTCAGGCAATGAATAACCTCAGTGAGGTTCAATACTTAATAGTAGATCGAGTTGGGGACCGTGCTGCCTTAACTATCAACTGCTCCAACACGGACGCTACGCAACGACCCTGCATCCCTTCATTCCGTCCAACGATCATGAAAGGAATCGTTATGATAACCGCCTCAAATTGAAGTTTATCTCGGCATAATCAGATACCACACGTCGAAGTTCCTGACTCAGAAATTCTGAGTCTACGTATACGTGGGCGTTTCGATTGGCTCGGCGTGCGCTAGGCTCATGGTTTAAGATCGCAAGGCTCGTCGTCGAAGTACCCTCGCTGGAGTAACACACCCTCAATTTCTAACCTGTCCATATCCGCTAGGTGTGGGAAATCCTTCACTTGCTAATGTCAGATCAGAGCAACCCGTTCCAGAAGTGTTACAAGAAGTTGGACAGTGGACATGCATTTTATGATCTCAACGAGCTCCGTAAGTCGCCGTATCATGCGTACTCATCATCTCTTCTTGATTGTCTTGCACTTGTTTGTGGTCGAATGTAGTATGATTCATCGATCAGATGATGACCGAGTCAAGAAGCTGCCCTTTTCGATCCGTATCTTGTTGGAGTCCGCGGTGCGCAACTGTGACGAGTTTGAAGTGAAGTCATCTGATGTTGAGAACATTCTCAATTGGTCCGAGACCTCTAAGAATCAAACCGAAATTCCCTTCAAGCCCGCCCGAGTTATTCTACAAGATTTCACTGGAGTCCCAGCAGTGGTTGACTTCGCAGCCATGCGCGACGCCATGGCTCGTCTCGGTGGCGACTCGGCCAAGATCAACCCGTTGGTACCGGTGGACTTGGTCATTGATCACTCTGTCATGGTGGACTACTCCCGGTCTCCCGAGGCCCTCGAGAAGAATCAAGGACTGGAATTCCAGAGGAACGGCGAACGTTTTGCGTTCCTCAAATGGGGTGCTGAGGCCTTCGACAACTTCAACATCGTACCTCCTGGATCCGGTATTGTGCACCAAGTGAATCTCGAGTACTTGGCTCGAGTAGTTATGAACTCCACTGAGGAAGGAACTGTTCTCTATCCTGATTCCCTTGTTGGTACCGACTCTCATACTACTATGATTGACGGTTTGGGTGTTGCCGGATGGGGTGTTGGTGGTATCGAAGCTGAAGCCGTCATGCTAGGCCAACCTATCTCTATGGTCCTACCAGAAGTTGTTGGATTCAAACTCACCGGTCGTCTCCCCGTTACTGCTACTGCTACCGATCTGGTGCTGACCTGTACCAACATGCTGAGGAAAAGAGGAGTGGTTGGCAAGTTCGTCGAATTCCATGGCTCTGGTTGTGCTACTCTGTCACTTGCTGACAGAGCGACGATCGCCAACATGGCTCCTGAGTACGGTGGAACCATGGGATTCTTTGGGGTCGATCAGAAGTCTCTTGACTATCTCGTTCGAACTGGTCGGCCTAGGGAAGCGGTTGATGTCATCGAGAAGTACCTCAGAGCTAATGGTCTCTTCCAGGACTACTCGGAAGAGCGCGAGTATTCTGGAGAGTTGATGCAGTTGGATCTCTCTACTGTGGTTCCGTGCGTGTCGGGTCCTAAGAGGCCTCATGATCGGGTCGCTGTTACCGATCTGCCGAAGGACTTCATCGATGGTCTCAGCACTCCAGCAACTTCTTTCAAAGGCTTTGGTATTCCCAAAGAGAAACAAGGTACCGTGATGACCGTCAGCTTTCATGGCAAGGACTACGATTTAACTCACGGTTCTGTGGTTCTGGCAGCAATTACGTCGTGCACTAACACTTCGAATCCGGGCGTTATGCTCGGCGCTGGTATGTTAGCCAGGAACGCAGTGAAGAGAGGCCTCAAGGTTGCGCCCTACATCAAGACTTCTCTGTCCCCTGGTTCGGGCGTGGTCGATGCTTATCTGAAGAAGGCTGATCTCCTCACTGACCTCGAGCAGTTGGGTTTCTATACTGCGGGTTTCGGTTGTATGACGTGCATTGGTAACTCCGGCGATTTAGATCCTGAAGTTACACGAGCCGTAACTGATGGTGATCTTGTCGTCGCCGCCGTATTGTCGGGCAATAGAAACTTCGAGGGTCGTGTGCACCCGTTGACAAGAGGTAACTATCTTGCCTCTCCTCCTCTTGTTGTGGCCTATGCTTTGGCTGGTCGGGTCACCATCGACTTTGAGAAGGAGCCTGTGGGTACAGATAGTCAGGGCACGCCAGTTTTCCTTCGTGACATCTGGCCCTCTTCTGAAGAGGTGTCTGCTCTTGAGAGGAACTGCGTGTTGCCGGAGATGTTCACTGAGAACTACAAGAAAGTCCTGCATGCCAATAAGAGGTGGAATCAATTGGCCGCACCGTCGGGGAAGTTGTTTGCATGGGCGGAAGGTTCGACGTACATTACGAATCCTCCATTTTTTCAGGCGGTAAGTTTTTCGATACGAGTTGTAGGAAGATTTGCACGTGTTTTCAGACGGAGATCAATCCAGCTCCCATCGAGTCTATTGAGGGCGCTTACTGTCTGCTAAATGTAGGGGACTCGGTCACAACTGATCACATATCCCCAGCTGGCAAGATCACGGCAAACTCGCCTGGTGTAAGTTGGTGCTCTATCGTCCCTGCTGAACCGTTGTGTGCCTATTATGTTTCAGGGTCGTTATCTTATTGACCACGGCATACAGCCTGTTGACTTCAACTCTTATGGGTCTCGTCGTGGCAACTACTTGGTCATGGCTCGTGGTACTTTCGCCAACATACGCTTGATAAATAAGTTGATGGATGGTGAGGTTGGGCCGAAGACGGAGTATGTGCCTACTGGTGAGAAGATGTTTGTTTATGATGCGGCCGAGAAATATATGAAGAAAGGACATCCACTCATTATTCTCGCGGGTGCGGAGTATGGCAGTGGATCTAGTCGGGATTGGGCTGCAAAAGGTCCAGCTCTGCAAGGGGTCAAGGCTGTTATTGCTAAGAGTTACGAGAGAATTCATAGGTGAGCGTTCTGGCTCTTGTAGGAGCGAGAACTTTTCTGTTCAGATCAAATCTAGTCGGAATGGGAATTCTACCACTTCAATTCCCTCAAGGTGTCGACGCTGACTCGTTGGGATTGGATGGTCGTGAGCAGTTCTCCATCGATCTCAAGCGTGGTGATCTATCTGTTGGACAGAAAGTTACTGTGCGATCTACGTCTCCTAAGACACCCTGTTTTGATGTGATTGTCCGACTGGATACAGAAGTCGAGCTGACATACTTCAAACACGGTGGCATTCTCCAATATGTGCTCCGACGGCTCGCGGCGTGAATTGGTCGGAGAGTGTTTTTCTCTCCCCACACGTTTTAAGTGGTTGCCGCCGTAGTGGGCTCGGACTGGCATATGTAGTGTGCATGGTCAAGCGGGTTTTTATGTTTCGAATTTCTGTTGGCGAAAACGTCTTCAGTGTATTTCAGTTGGTCACAAATTTTTTCGGTTCAACTCGTTAGTGTTGAAGTTGATCATTTTTTTGGTGGGGACAGGTTGTCTCTGTTCCTTATGCGAATCTTCAGTTTTTTCTCTGTGTAATTGACCTCCAATGACTGACTACAAGGTTGCTGATATTGGGGAAGCCGAATTCGGTCGCAAGGAGATCGATCTGGCTGAAGTAGAGATGCCTGGCTTAATGGCGAGCCGCAAGGAGTTTGGCCCGAGGAAGCCGTTGGCTGGTGCTAACATCACTGGTTCTCTTCATATGACCGTCCAAACGGCCGTTCTGATTGAGACTTTAAAGGAGCTTGGTGCCAATATCCGTTGGTGTAGCTGCAACATTTATTCGACACAAGATCATGCCGCGGCTGCTATTGCCAAGGCTGGCTCTGCCAATGTGTATGCTTGGAAGGGGGAGACTCTTGAAGAGTATTGGTGGTGTACTGAACAGGCTCTGACGTGGCCGAATGCTGATGGTCCCGATCTCATTGTGGATGATGGTGGTGATGCTACTCTGTTAATCCACGAGGGTGTGAAGGCTGAGAAGGCGTACAGGGAAAGCAAGATTATCCCTAATCCCGATGCGGAGAGTAATGCCGAGTTCAAGTGTGTTCTGACAATTCTTAAGGAGAGCCTCGAGCGTGGTGAAGTCGATAAGTGGACCAAAATGGCAGCGAAGCTCGTTGGTGTCAGCGAAGAGACGACTACTGGTGTTCATCGACTTAACTCGATGGCCGCGGCTGGTACTTTACTCTTCCCAGCTATCAATGTTAACGATTGCGTGACGAAGAGCAAGTTCGATAATGTGTATGGGTGCAGACATTCTCTTCCGGATGGTATTATGCGAGCTACTGATGTCATGATTGGTGGTAAGACTGTTTTCGTTGCTGGCTATGGTGATGTGGGTAAGGGATGTGCTGTTGCTATGAAAGGCTGTGGTGCCAAGGTTTTGGTTGGCGAGATCGATCCTATCTGTGCCTTACAGGCTTGTATGGAGGGGCTCACTGTCACTACTATTGAGGATGCAATATCCAAGTACAATGCCGACATTTTCATCACGGCTACTGGTAACAAGGACATTGTCACGCTCGAGCACATGGAAGCTATGAAGAACAACGCCATCGTTGGGAACATCGGGCATTTTGACAATGAGATACAGATGGAGAGGTTGGAGAACTGTCCTGGTGTCAAGTGCATGAACATTAAGCCTCAAGTTGACCGCTTCGAATTCCCTGATGGCCACGGCATCATCATGCTTGCTAGCGGTCGTCTGCTGAACCTCGGATGTGCCACAGGTCATCCTAGCTTCGTTATGAGTTGCTCATTCACCAATCAGACACTGGCTCAGTTAGAGCTATGGGAAAACCGAAACACGAAGTATGCGAAAGGGAAGAAACCCGGTGTCACCCTATTGCCCAAGGTTCTGGATGAGAAAGTTGCCAGGTTGCACCTCCCAGCTCTCAATGCCAAGCTGACTCAACTAACTCCAGAGCAAGCAAGCTACATCTCCGTTAACGTGGAAGGTCCTTTCAAAGAAGCTCACTACCGTTATTAGCCGGGATGGATGGATTTTTTACAACCCAAGTTGGTCAGAGGTGGGTGATCAACTCATGGCAATGCGGACAACGTTGCCGGGATTTTGATTATTATCTTTCATCAGCTCTAGTTGTGTTGCTAGTAATCGCATACGGCAAGGATGAATCGAGGAAACACTAACATTCTGTTCATCTAACTCCAGTTCAAAATCTTCTCCATTGAAATCGGGTCTGAATATAAGAGTTGTATAGGGATCGACGGCGTCCTACCTCCTCATTGCTTGCCGAGATTACTTCGGAGTTCCCCGAATCGGAAATGTTTGGCCCTGTGGTGCAACGCGAAACTTCAAATCAGAGGGTTCGTTCGAACTGAGCTGGGGTCATATAATGTTTGAATGGGTTCACCTCGTCGTACTTGCTTATTGCCTCCCGAGACCACTGTCATCGCGCAATTCGGCCCTGTGGCGCAACGGTAGCGCATCTGACTCCAGATCAGAAGGTTGTCCGTTCGAATCGGGCCGGGATCATATAATGTTTGAATGAGTTCACCTCGTCGTACTTGCTTATTGCCTCCCGAGACCACTGTCATCGCGCAATTCGGCCCTGTGGCACAACGGTAGCGCAACTGACTCCAGATCAGAAGATTGTCCGTTCGAATCGGGTAGGGGTCATATAATGTTTGAATGAGTTCACCTCGTCGTACTTGCTTATTGCCTCCCGAGACTACTGACGTAGCGCAATTCGGTCCTGTGGCGCAACGGTAGCGCATCTGACTCCAGATCAGAAGGTTGTCCGTTCGAATCGGGCCGGGGTCATATAATGTTTGAATGAGTTCACCTCGTCGTACTTGCTTATTGCCTCCCGAGACTACTGACGTCGCGCAATTCGGCCCTGTGGCGCAACGGTAGCGCATCTGACTCCAGATCAGAAGGTTGTCCGTTCGAATCGGGCCGGGGTCATATAATGTTTGAATGAGTTCACCTCGTCGTACTTGCTTATTGCCTCCCGAGACTACTGACGTCGCGCAATTCGGCCCTGTGGCGCAACGGTAGCGCAACTGACCCCAGATCAGAAGGTTGTCCGTTCGAATCGGGCCGGGGTCATATAATGTTTGAATGGGTTCACCGCGTCGTACTTGCTTATTGCCTCCCGAGACTACTGTCATCGGGCAATTCGGCCCTGTGGCGCAACGGTAGCGCATCTGACTCCAGATCAGAAGGTTGTCCGTTCGAATCGGGCCGGGGTCATATAATGTTTGAATGGGTTCACCGCGTCGTACTTGCTTATTGCCTCCCGAGACTACTGTCATCGGGCAATTCGGCCCTGTGGCGCAACGGTAGCGCATCTGACTCCAGATCAGAAGGTTGTCCGTTCGAATCGGGCCGGGGTCATATAATCTGTGAATGCGTCCAAGGCATGCTTCACCGCATCGCATTAGTTATTTGGGAGTGTTGCGTGAGACTGAGTGTTAGCCAACTAGGCAGCAGAGGGCGGTGATAATACCGAACCTCACAACACGCCGTGCATTGGCTTAACACCACAGTCACATTGCCTAGCACGCAGGCACATAGGCAATGTCCCCCAAACAACTAGTGAAGGCCGCCCCAGTTCGGCTACTTGCGCCCGAGGCTGCGATATTCCAGAAAAGGTAGTCCTTCAGTCGTGTGCAACCGTAATCCACCTTTGCAGTTCCATGTTTTTCCGTGAAATTTTGGCCGCATGTAATAGTGTTTCAAGGACAATACATACTCCACAACGTGATGAAATCTCCTCGAATGAAAGTGTGGAGAATCCGACTAAGGTTCCATCACTGCCAACCGTGTTACTCAACGCAATAAATTACCAGACATACAGCATGAATAACACCCTGAGGTACACATCTAGGCAAGCATGAAAGTGACTATCAAGTCAAGAGGCAATCTTGACCTTTTTCAAACTTCGAATGATTGATTCGAATCCGGGCCTGAAAGATTGAGATCCAGGAACCACCATGGTTCGAAACAGCAAGAGTATTCATAAGATCCTCCACACTCACCGATCCTCAGGCCTGGCAGCCCAGCATTTTTCCATCAGCGCAATGAACTGCGGAGGACAGCCACGTGGTGCCTGAAAATCACAGCCGTGACCGAATCAATTTCGAACCACCTTACTCGTGCTGTGTTCGGCCTCTGACCCTTGCTGACGGCCATCGCAATTTGTAAAGGTTGCAGCCCTGAACAGTATACCCGAATACCTCATACTAACAAGTAGATAGCTTCTACCCGTATCTTCATAGGGAATTATTCGACACAGTATCTCATACATGACAATAGCAAAACTATAGCTGTCAACCTTCTCATCATAAGACTGTCCATCCAGCACCTCCGGGGCCATCCAATGGTATCTACCAAGTCTAGTTGCGCCAACACTACTAGAACTACCCTACGTTCCAGCATTAGCGGTCATATTCTGCGTTGCCGATGCCTTCAGCTTAGACAGGCCAAAGTCAGCCACCTAAGCGATATATTCTTCTGCCATTACACGCATATTACTCCCACCTTAACGATAGGAGCGTCGTACTCATCCTCGACCCTCTCCACGAGAAGGAGATTCAATGATTTCAGGTCTCGATGGATCTACAGGAGACCGCCTCGTATCACCAAGCGCCCCCCTTCCCCCCAACCTACAATGGGAGGATCACACGTATGCAGATAATTCAACCCTTTAGCGATATCCAGCATCATCTTCAGTCGTTGCCGCCACGAGATGTCAATCTATAATCAATTACTTCTACCCAGGGAACGAACTATCATCCAGCGATACATGAAGTTTGTTGTGCGCAAGGTCAAATAGGGTCCCTCCTTCACAGAACTCGCATACCATCATCAAGGGCGCGCTCTTCGTAGCAGCTCCCATGAATAACACGAGGTTTGGGTGACGACACTAAAACAACACGATGCCCAGCCGTAGTGATCTGCTTTTCACCTTCGCCATTATCATCAGCTCTCGATGGAAGGCCGCCACTGTCGAGTCGAATTCCCTCGGGTCCCAATTGATCTTCTTGATAGCGACATCGGTACCTTATACCACGTCCTCCTCCAACGATATCGAGCAGCAGCAGCTGCGAGCACTACCCCTCCATGTGCCGCGGAAGACATCAGCGGTGATGCCACTCCCCACCTTCTCCTCAATGACCAGCTGAGCAGGGTCGACCTCCCAACTCTGCCACTCAGTTTCTTCCAAACTCTCTGAAAATTAACATAATTCTCCTCTGGAATAACCATGTTAATCACTTCGTCCTTTCGTAGTTGCCACGGGCTCTTCTGAAAAAAAAAACATCGCTCCGCTCGGATCCCTATGGACTGCTCACCTTCAATCGATTCTTCTGTGACTATCGCCTTAGCCTTCAACAACTCCTTAATAGTATCATTAGCCGCGTACTCAATAGCAATCCTTCCACTCGCATCCGGCTGCAGAACCAATGAGCTAGCCTCCTTCCCGATGAAGTCCAGAATCTGACCTCCTCCGAGTCTACGAGTCACTACAAGCCCGTCAAAAGCTACCAGAGCCATGGCATCCTCATTCTCCCATTCTGCCGCTATGTGTATCACAGTACGACCGAATCTACCGGAGAATGTATAGTGAGAAATTCCGCAAGCTTCTTACTTGTTGGGCATTTTAGGATTAGCACCCTTCTCGAGGAGATAGCGCACTACATCAACATGATTCATGAACGCAGCATGGTGTAGGGGCGTCCACCCATCCTGATGACGGCACATCACTCTCGTGGACTACCGCCGGCCTTCATACGTACTTTATCAATAGCATCATTCACACTAACACAGGGCATATTCTTATCGACCGGGTCTATCAGGTTCGCAATGGCCTGGATGTTGCCGGTCTGAGCCGCTTTTAACAGCAGCTTGTTCATATCGAAAGTCCCTGAAAGATTGCTGATCACATATCGCATGATAGCACGGGTTCAATCCCCAGCGACGGCATTTTAACACGTAGTATACCAAGTACTCCTTCCCAATGCCTGACGTACCCGCGCTAGACCCTCCACCTCGTCCGCCTCCAACTGAAGACACGAGGGTGACCGCAGCATGAGATGAATCTGTGTTATGCAATCCCACCTGCATTGGGCACATTAGAGAACTTCACCACGTATTTCATCAAGGTTTTCCTCGTCTCTGGTGTAGCGTATCTGTCATCATATCATCCCGCTACCGTCGATGCTACAAGGACGCCATCTCACTCCATAGGGGTGCGGCCAAGCTCATCAGCGATGGTCATACAAACGGGACCACCAGTTTCTAACAATGTCTCGAGGACTTCAATATTCTCCCATTCGGAGGCTATATGAACCTGTGCAGCGCAGTGCCTTACCATAATGTATTGACTGCTTGGAGGCTATTGACCATTCAACCGATGCTTATATCTACTCTTCTTACTGGGGTTCGTCCATGGTTATTTTGTCTATGAACATCTGCACCATGTTTCAACAGAGCATGGATCGCCTGTAGAGACCATCACTGCATCACTCGATAAGGCTAACATACATCCAGTTGGTTGACGAAGGCAGCATGATGAAGGGCAGTCCAACCGTCCTTATCCCGGGTATTCACATCTACACCTCGCTCTAGTATCTATGCTAAGCTGAGTACAACTCCCATACCACCCCATCAACGTACCATAGGGATCAGCACTGCCCTACCCAGGCTGGCAGCGATATGAAGGACAGTCTTCGAGTCGCGATCTAATGCTAAAGGCACTCGGTCCTTGTTGGCTTCGAACACCTTCCGAACGTCCGCTATGGACCTGACCATAGTTACAGTTGAGTCTCACGAGGCGCCAAAAGACTGTGAGTATTGAGGGGGAATCACTGTTGAGACCCGATGGGGTATGGCTGTACTCACCCTTCCTTGACAGCGGCAAAGATAGGACGATCCTCAGGGTTAGGGATGCTGTTCTTGAAGGCAGACAGTGGCATTACGCAAGGTAGTTGCCACGATAGACGGCCTAGGCCGGACGAGATGCGCTGACACTTGAAATCTTGCAGTCTTGCATTTCCTCAACGCAATAACGCACTATCGTATGAAACCGCCATTTCCTCTAATCGACAAGTCTCTACTTTCACTAACCTCTCACTAATGCACTTGAAGATCTTACCTTTGGACGCTAAGGCTGCGGAATAGTGAGTCTATGGGCCTCCGTCTGTGGAGGTTTATGTCCTACTGAACAGTTACTCCTCCCACAAAACGTTCCATGCTGGTGATTCTGGTCTGGACTTGTTCGTTGTGAAGGAGCAGACTATCCAACCTGGCGAGACGGCTTTCATAAGGCTAGGCATCAAGGCAGCTGCCTTTGATGGCAAGGACGGAGGTAGGGTCGCTCAGGAGCTCTCAGTCTCAGTGATGTTCCCTTCAGCTGGCTTGTCATGGTTGCTCATGGCGCGATCGTCGATCTCCAAGACACCTTTAAGACTGTCAAATTCCATCGGCCTTATCGACCAGGTGGACCTGCGATCAGTTCCTAATTATTCGTTTTACAGGGATACCGAGGAGAGATCATAGCCGCTGTCGACAACATCAAAAATGAAGCTTATACGGTCAAGGAAGGTGCCCAGTCTTGCTGTCCATGCTCTGTCGAGTACCCCGTAGGTGATCGCCTCGTCCAAGCAGTGGGCTTCGACGGCAAGGGAATCACAATGGAGGTATACCTGCCGTCCGAGACAAGATTTTCATGCGTCTTCTGCTTCAGCTCGTGAAGGAGCTCGACGAGACTACGAGAGGCGAGGGTGGTTTCGGCTCGACCAATGTGGGGGTAGATAAAGGCATCGATAAGGCCAAGCAGGTGCGCTTCGCTTGAGGCCTCTCCTCTTCATATTTCTCGCTAAGGGGGCTCCCATGAAGCGAAAAAGTGGAGAAACGCTTCCTGTAGACTTTTGGGAGGTTCCCTTCCGTAAATTGCTGCTTTCCATAAGACCGTTCTCGTCAGGACCCTCCGATCAAGCGCTCGAAGGTGGCTGGTGACGTTATCAGTGCGGCGATAGTAGGCGCCTGAGAACATCTGTGGTCGGCTTACGCTCATGCATGCTATATCGAGATTTCATATAAAAACTAATTGTCGTGTTGGTCATATGAGCCGGGAGTTCATAGGAGATCCGAAAAGCTTCTTCTACTTCAATGGGAAAGAAAGGTGGCAAGAAAAAAGCTAAAATAACGGGCACGCCAGATGTTGTCCGGTTCAAGACGACAACCTCCTACTACGCAACTCTGCAGGAATGCGCTCAGCTTCAAGAGAGTCTTCCGTTCGTCGCGTCAGACTTTATGGCTGATGATGAATACCTCCGGGTGAGAACTCCTACGACTTTGGAGCTGCGTGGTTTACGTTGTGTACTTCATCTATCTAGGTGGCGCGTTTCTTGTCAATGTTGGGTATTTTGTGTGATATGTGTGGAGTCCAGAGTGATAAGAGCTATAGGGCTCGGAATTATCACAAGTACCTGAGCCCACCTCCTAGCGTAACACACTGGGCCCTTCTCGACTGGATAAAGGACCTATCACTGGTTCAGTTCGACCCTAGGGGGTTCCCTGTAGCAGTTGTGAAGGCCGCCCGAGAGTTACAAGATGAACCTTCTATCTGCTTCAACGGCAAGAGGTATGCCGATATTACGCAAATTCTATACATTCTATTCCGGGTGGAAGATACCAATTCTCGGACGAGCTGAAGGAGAAGGCTGAGGCGTTCTTGAGGGACATTGATAGTGACATGAACCAGATTGCAGGGTATATCGAGCCGGCTCTAAGGGTGAGGAGGCGATAGTGTAGCTTATGGAATACAGTCTTTTCAGTGCGACTTCGCGGAGGGCCTGCAAACGTTCAAGGTCGCCTTATCGGATAAGGTCATGGAGTTTGACGATATGTTTGTGGAATTTGAACATGTACATTGCGAGCAGCGATAGTCGTGCTCATTTTGGCATTGTAGGTCTACTCTGCTGAATTACTGGAGATTTATAATGACGTATTCTCTGTGATAGAGGACATGGTCGAAGCGGAGTAAATTGGAATGGATTTCCCCTGACCTCGTGATGATGTTCTTTGGGCAGGTCTAGGCTCACCACTGCTGAAGAGGAAGGAGACATTTTACAGAAACAGATCGAAGAAGCGACCTTCGTCCGAGCTATTGAGGTCGGACAAGTTCATCATCCCTAAGGAGACCCCATTCTCAGGCTTTCCTCATGCTCTACGCGGAGGTGGTGGAGGAAAAATATACGGCGGGGGAGGCATCACAGAATGAGGTAGGCGGCTAGCTGCGATATGTTGTGGTCTACTGTCGTGCAGGTGAACATTTCTCGAGAATACGCCGAGCCGATACCTGATCGTAGTCTAGAGCTTGCAGGTGAGTTTGGATAGGAACCCCTTCTAGTTAATCTGCCCACCTTCTCAGAAGCGACGATTTTCTACGAGTATAAAGTCATCGACTTGGGTCGTGAAGACTGGCTCGACGTTGTCAATGAGTTCATACGCACCTATCTTGAGCTACGAGTGTACGTCTCTCATATACCGGTCGAACGTCTCAGTCCTGAGGTAGGGTCTACACAGTGCAGTTGCTGCGGCTTGTAGTCTCGTTTCACTGCAGTACACTGATAATAAACGGTTCATGACGCTCTTGAGGGCCTTTCATCGACGAGCCGCTGAAGCCTTCCCAGCCTTGGAGTTTGTCAGCCATCTACCTATGATCAGTCAGTGTAAATCCTCAAGGTGGATGACGAAGGTAGGATGGTTACCTCACCATTCGGTATAATGACTGTTGCTTGGTAGGCATCGCTCACTCCGGAATTGCAGCAACTTTATCAGAGGAAGTTGGAAAAGACTCATGCTGCATGATTGTTGTTTGTTAATACTTTCTCTTGCGTTTAAGTACATTCTAAACTCATAGCGGTCGATAATGACTGACCAACGAGAGCAAGATTGTGGGAGTCGAGGGGCTCTGATATTACACGAAGGAAAGTGACCTCCCAGACGAACATCCCTAACACGTGCATAGTGAAGTATTGCCAATAACCTCTCTGCTTCTCGTCCACGACCTTGCGTAACATTGGGAGAAGAGCTCGTGTCTACCGGGCACCCCCTAGTTGAGGTCGATGCATGCCGTCGAGTTCTCTTCCCATACCCATTGGGCTCTTGGTTCTAACATACTAATGACCTTTGTATGCCAGTCTCGCGCGACTATAGTATACGAAATTTCCGTAACGGAAAGCGAGCGTTCCGCAGAGCTACTACGAGCTGTCTGCAATAGAATTCGTTGACCATCTACCAGTCAGTAGGAATGATGGGAGACAAATGGAGGATCGTCTCTTCCTTCTCCAGCATGAAGTTAATCAGTCAATACCCGTCGCCGATTCCACCATCGCAACGACCTCATCATATCTCATAGCCGAGCGCACTGACTACCGACTACCCAACTAGTGACGCAACTCTACTGTGCAGAGGCTGAAGCTTTGTGCAATCCACAACAAGTATACATGCAATTCAGCAACGCTGAGGTTTGATGCCTACATCATCACTTCTTGCCTAATAGCTGATTAACCGTCTCTCGAGTGACAGTCTCTAACGATGCGGTACTGGCCAGCCTATCCGTGCCGAATCTCGTCGACTCAGCGGATGTTCTTCTACTGCCCAAATTATCAATCTTAGCCTCGAGCCTTTGATAACGTAAAGCAGTTCTCTTGATGTAGTCTCCCAAAAGGGTCTGGACCATAGTCAAGTTTTTCTGCACGAGTAGTAAGTCCTGTGCAGTGGGAGGCTGTAACATCTTCAGTAGCATTTGCACGAACTCATCCTGGTCGATACACCCGTGACCAGAGGAATCAATGATTTGGAACGCCACTGCGACAACATCCTGAAAGACATTTTGAACGATGTCATACAGCAGACACACCTCATCGACACCAAGCTTCTGTAGTCGATAAGCCGCTTGAGCGTTGAACTCATTCTCAGTGAGAGTTCCCGAGCCGTCAACGTCCATTGCATCAAATACCTGTCGGAAGCGAGTAAGGCAGCAGTGCGGTGTTCGGTAGGGCACTGCTACTTCAACTATTCGCTCTCGTAGTAATTTATCTTTCTCGGTTTCTGTCGTATCGGATACAATCTCGCAAATAACTCCGATGAGAATGTTGAGAATCATGAATGCCCCGAGCAGTATGAATACGAGAAGCAATGCGCCACACCTGACCATGGGACGAGGGTATTCAGACTGACAACAGACCCGAGTCCGCAAAGTTCCAAATAGATTGCGATGAGCTCTTACGCGAAACTCTCACTCAGTGTCGCCCGGATAAGCGAGAAGGTATCATCAAAAACCAATACCTGGTAATTCATAACAAGTAGTTTCATACGACTTTAACATTAAAATAGCCGTACTTGCCATAACGTTAGCATACTCTTGGGAATAGTCCCGAACATCTCATCAAAGAAACCTGGTGTTCCGTCCACCTCCTTGGCGAGCCTCTCCTCAGAATGCTTCGCCCAGTTCGTTAGTATGATAGCGAATACATACCTAGCAGTCGCTGACAGTCGTTATTCAGTGAATCTTCAGCTTGCGGGACGATTCGTGTCCGCTTCCCTTTACATGAGAGCGAGTATGATAGCCAGAGTACTGCTAACAGAACGAGCGGCAGCAGCCATGGACTTGACCATCATGCCAAGCTCGGGGACCATCCCTGAACGTTGCCACTTGACACAGTAGTAGTAGAAGAACACGAGTGATAGTACTGAAAACTCGAGTGATTCGGAGCAACCGGAGTAGACGGAGGACGCTGAGACTTCCCAGAGTTGATGTATCCGCATCGACTATTGGAAGCACCCAGATCTCGATGATCATCATGACCACCTGCAGGGACGGTGGACAAAGGTGGCGTGATGAGTGTGAGCTACCAGGCATAGGTCGAATAAGTTCCAGAATCGTAGATGCTTGTCGTTGAAGAAATCCATCTTGTTTTTATAGGCAAATATACGGACGAGGATCTCAAAGGTAAAACAGAAGCCAAATATGTGCTCCCCGACATCGAACACGACGAGCTGAAGAATATGACCGTAATAAGAGCGCACATACTTTATCCTGCTACTGGCATGCCAGAGTCGGGGAAATTATGGTCCTCATCTATACCAATCCATACAGCATTGAGTACGATGACGACCAGAGCCCAATTCTGATGCAAAGGGGCGAAGTATCCATCGAAATGGAGCCTACTATGCATTGCTTGTGACAGGCGCTTCCGAGTGAACTATCCGAGTAAATCGGATGATAATCAGCGACTGCAGGAAGCTTGACTTTAAGCAGTTTATGAAGAGTTGTTAACACGAAAGTGAATATGATATCAACAGTTTTTCAGTTTGTCTGTGGAACAAAAAAGTTACCAAATTTACTCCAAAAATTTCGTAAAACTTTAGAGCGATCCCGTGTGCCACCTGAAATCGGCTATCACTAGCCAGCAAGGCTAATTTGGATTCCGGATCGGCCATGCCTCGGGAGAACAAGTCCATAGGTGGACGTCGTAGCTTAGCCCGCGCGAATTCCGTCGTCCTCCGTGCCTGACTCCTCGTCCCCCTCAAAAGCAGGTGTTGGGGGGATGTACCTCATCTAATCTTTTTACAAGTGATATCGACCGAGCTATGTCCGCGGGAGCATCAGTTTTCAATACTCCAACTCTACCAAAACTGAGTCGTCGTTCACTATGTCTGCCTTGCCTGTTAAATATGAGTAACAATCTCCCATATACTCAACTTTCCTACGCCGAGTCGTTCCTAGTAGAATGAAGACCTTCAGGAAAATTATCTGTGACCTCTGACTGCTCATCAGGGGAATCGTCACATGCTGAGATACCATCGTATTCATCCCTGAGTGTTGAGGAAGAGCTTACAGCCAGAGATCTGCCTGCTGGGAGCCTCCAGAGCTCCAAAGGAGATCCCTCCGGGCAAGGTCCGCATCCTCATACAAGCGATCGAATCATCTTCGGTTTCCGAATCCTCACGACTGATCTGTACAGGTGCTGTGTCGTCAGCCATTCACTGCCACATGACCGGACTAGACACTGTTGTTGAGTAGATGAAGATCCAACGACAACACGTACACACATATTTCTACACTCATAATAGTGCTCACAACTCAACGGGGAACCACAACTGTAAAGGAAACATGAACAACACGATGAACAAAGTCGACCAAGTCATGACAATCCACGGTACGATGACCAGTGTGTTGGGCACCATCCGTATCAACTTCGAAAGCATCACACCGAATGGCCGTGAGTTCGAAAGCAGACGAAGTCATAGCTATGTATGGGAGACTTGCTTGATTTCATCAAGACATTAAAGAAATGGTAACGAGGCTGTAGTAGGTTGACAACAACATCAACCTTTAGCTTGGTCACGATGATACCATCGATGAGTTCAACTCTAGGGCTGTTGTCGAATCAATGGTTGCAAGTCAATACGGGTTTAACGAGGTACATGTTCATGCGTGCGGCACTCGTCTGGTTTCTGACATCTCCGCGGTGATCTTGAGACTTCCCGCGTCATCTGCTAAGTGGTGTACCCTGCTACTGTTAGTCTACATCCACCTGCTGGACATTGAGCCACCTTCTCATGTCGAGTAGGATAACACCAAATCTACCATTTCTATCTGTTCAACATACTCGTCCCTAAGCTTGAGGAATTGGTAAAATTCCAAGCTCCAGGAATATAAAACCACCTTATGGGAAGCTTGACTCATACAAACTATCAAATGAAGGGGTAGAATAGCTAGGCTAGACGCCAGCTAGTATTGCCTCGCCTATCACATAATTGTTTCAGCGGAGCAGCGAAGTAGATGGATGAGTATCATCACATACTCCTTCGACCATTAGCTCATGCAAGGATAACTGTATTATCCTATACTATATTCCCGGGGAAGATCTACAACAGTAATAGTAGCTCTACACATATCAGTGATATCTCCGCCTTGCCGTGTCTGTTGCTGCCTGCCGTACACAGGCTAGGCATGATATACCCTACTCTTCCTATCTTCGGAGACCCTTCCTAGACCGCTCTCGCAGTTCCTTGCTTTGCTGACAATATCGTCTCTGGCGAATGGAGGTTCTTATGTGGAGTACAGTAGACCTCGCAGCGATAACTTCTTACACAGCTTCAACCTAGATCTGAAAAATATATTATTTCACGCCGATTTCCTATGTACACCAACGTTGGAGACAAACTTGAACACAAGACGAATGTAGTCAAAATTGATGCAGCTAGTTATATAAAACCTAATGATAGCAACAACTGTCTGCCAACAATACTAGGAATAAGCTCATAATGCCACTTCACTTGGCGAGCTTACCTAGATGGGCCTTAGGAGCATACTTCTTGATAACTCTACGCTCATGCAACATGTCGAATTCCTCAGTAGCATCCTTGCCAGCAAACAACAGAATCGCCTTCTTCCCTCCAGGATGGTCAGGCAAGAACTCGGTAACATCGTAGACGTCATCACCGATAATAACCCAGCAGTCACCCTCAGTGTTGTGGGCCGCCACCTCGGCAGCAGTGTAAGACTTCTCAGACATGGATTATAGTAAACGTAAACCTGAACCATGCAGACCATGAAGTTGACCTGAACAGAGCAACCTAACGCTGCGGAGATTTCCCTTCCGCAGCGCTAACTCAGTGGATACCGAATAAGACGTGTTCGCTCACCGACGGGCCAGCCTTCAGGAAATGCCACCGAGTACCACATTATCAATAGAGAATTTACACAACTAGCCTGCTGAGGACGTACGTATGGGATGAACGTATCTCAATCTTTTGAAACCGCGCGCGCCATTCTAATCGATTATTGTAATTGACTTTCTCTGGTGGATGGAGACGTAGGAGTTTTAGTATTGAGAACAGGTTGTTACTGTTGTGGTTTTGATAATGGGGGACGCGCGATACTTCAGTTCGTCGAAACGCGGGGAAATACACGAGTTGAAAGAAGAACTCAATAGTCCTAATAAGGAGAAGAAAAAAGAGGCTATTAAGAAGGTAATGGCAGACCGGTGTTGATATTGCCCCATCCCGTGTAATACAGGTTATAGCGGCTATGACTGTTGGGAAGGACGTCTCGGCGTTGTTCCCAGACGTGGTGAACTGTATGCAAGCACAGACTATTGAAGTTAAGAAATTAGTTTACTTGTACTAGACCGGCTGAAACTAGTCCATCATAAATTTCATCACTCCTAAGGTATGTGATCAACTACGCGAAGAGTCAGCATGAGCTTGCTATACTAGCAGTGAATACATTTCGGAAGGACACTATGGACCCGAACCCCCTCATACGGGCGTTAGCAGTCCGAACGATGGGTAGCATCAAACTGGAACAAATGACAGAGTAGTAGTACTAGCGACAATGTACTGTAGTGGAGTGCACGATGTTAGGTATCTACTAGAGCCGTTGAGAAGGTGCTGTAAGGATCAGGATCCCTATGTAAGGTTAATCACTGTGTGTTGTTTTTGGAATGTCAAAGTGATAGGTCCGGAAAACTGCAGCAATTTGTATTGCCAAGTTTTTTGAAATTTCACCCGATATGGTGGAGGATCAAGGCTTTGTAGCTGTTCTCAAGGACATGCTCAGTGACGCTAACCCTATGGTCGTTTCCAACGCTGGTAGTAATGGTAGTAGCTGCCGAGGTAGTATTAGTCTCACTAGTTATCGCATTATCTGAGATGCAACAGCAGTCGGGCAAGCGAATGATGCCTTTGGACGAGAAGACGGTATCCAATTTGTTATTGGCGTTGAACGAATGTAACGACTGTTGCAGTTGGTGGATGCTAATAGAAGTGTTTGATGTTAGGTACGGAATGGGCTCAGGTTATTATACTGGATGCTATCACTATGTATCAGCCTAAGGATAGTAGGCAGGCTAAGGAGATGATAGAGCGAGTGTCGGCGAGACTGAGTCATGTTAACTCGGCTGTGGTAGTATTCTGGGATGGTCTAGTGGTAAAGATGGCGACTGTGGTAGAGGAGGTTGTGGGTTCAATTCCTGCGAGTGTGAATATGTCGTGGCTCTATCATGATGCTCGGATGTGTAGGCTTGGGTGGTTGTCAGGTTCTATCGGCTATCAAAGTGATTATGAAAATGATGGATAAACTGAACAACACGGATATGATCAGAGTTATGTGCCGTAGGCTGTCGGCCCCTCTGGTCACACTCCTTTCCCAGGAGCCGGAAATACAGTACGTACGGGCAAGGGGGGAGGAGAGTGAAATTCAATTACATTGCGATAAAGAAAATTTCTCTGATCGAGATTGTGTAACAATAGTAATATATGTCTCATCATGCTACAGCGCCCGTACTGTTGGCATTTTTCCGGTGGATAGATCTGGAAATGGACGTGTGAGTGTGTTCGGGAAAAATCATTGGCTGCATTTTCAGGTACATTGCTCTGCGTGATATCAGACTGATTGTGCAAAAAAGGCCGATAGTACTCCAAGGGTAAGTATGGTACTTGGTGAAAATAGGCGGAGCGAAGCACGACAGCACTTTTTAGGGAGGTCAAGGTCTTCTTTTGCAAGTATAATGATCCTATTTATGTTAAAATGGAGAAGTTGGATGTGATGGGTAGGCGGAGTGGAATATACTATACCACTCCTCCTGGAACTTGGCTCTATTTCAGTGATGTTGGCGAATGAACGGAATGTTGATGTGGTGGTAGCAGAGCTTGTGGATTATGCTAATGAGGTTGACCTGGAGTTT